GGGCGCGTCTGCACCAAGATGCGAGCATATTAGTCAAGAGTTGTGGCAAACGCCAACGGTTCGGCAGTGTCCCTCATATCCCTGCCGAACCACTTTCACCGATCGTAAGTCCATGGCCATTCGCCCAATGGGGGTTAGATTTAATTGGCCCGATGCCGGAAGGCAAGGGTCAGGTCAAATATGTTGTGGTTGCCGTGGACTACTTCACCAAATGGGTAGAAGCCAAGGCCTTAGCAACGATAACAGCCGCCAGAATTGAAGATTTCATTTGGACGAACATTTGTTGCCGATTCGGCATCCCCTATGCCATCGTCACGGATAACGGCAGACAGTTTGATTTGGAAGTCTTCAGAGAGTTCTGCGTCCGACTCAAGATCAACCTGTTCTTTACTTCGCCAGCTCACCCCCAATCGAACGGCCAAGTCGAGGCAATGAATAAAATTGTCAAGAAGCTATTGAAACGGCAGCTCGGCAAAGCCAAGGGAGCCTGGCCGGAAAAACTCCCAGAAGCGTTATGGGCCATCCGGACATCCTACCGAACGACAACTGGTGAAACACCGTTCTCCATGGCATTCGGCTCGGAAGCCGGAGGCCCAGTAGCAATCGGACCTTCCTACCGAACGGAAACCTTCGCACCAAAGGCAAACGAGGAAGCGCTTGCTTTAAGCCTCGACCTGCTCGAAGAACGTCGAGCACAAGCCAACCTTCGGAACGAGGCTTACAAGCAACGCGTCTCTTGATACTATGACTCCATGGTCAGATCCAGCTATTTCATAATCGGAGACTGGGTCATGCGAAAAGTCTCGCTGGCAACCAAGAATCCTACGGAAGGAACCCTCGGACCGTCCTGGGAAGGACCATACGAAATCATCGGTATCCAGCGATCGGGGACTTATCGACTCAGAGACTCCAACGGAAAGACCCTCGGTCATCCTTGGAATGTAAAGCATTTGAAATATTATTTTAAATGAAGTCACCTAGCCTACGGCAGGATTACAATAGAGTCTCAAAAGCCCTCGGCCTCTCTGTATTCACAGCCTTTGGCAGTGTAGCGTTCCCTAGCCTACGTCGGGTTTTTAATTGTAAAACGCACTCCATATTGTATCTTTGCCTTCGGCAGTTTATCAATGAAAAGGGCCTTCAGCCCACATATTCAAAACCTTTGTTGTACCCTTTAAGCTCTTTTCGTTTTAAAAAGATACGGTAGAGCAACGTTCCCTTCCGAGGACAACTTCAAATCCCCTCCCGAGAATTCTCGCAAGAGGACTTGGGGGACTCCTGTTTATACTAAAATGAGCAGCCAATAAACATTTGACACGTGGACCAAGCTGGAGCTATGGGAGCCTTCGGCATCTAGCTTCGGCATCTTACCTACCGATCGCTCTATTAGGGCAACCTTGGCATCCAAAACACGTGGCAGTCTCACAATCAATGTCCACAGTCCCACATCGAAACTCTAAGCAAAATGCACACCTCCCAAGGCCTATAAAAGAGGACAACCATCTCAGCTTGGAGGTAATCAATCAGGGGAAAGTGCTGAACCATTTTTCTGCGTCAACACTGGGCAACCAAACACAGGTCAAGGTCTAAAGTCTAACAGCTGCAACATTCAATGAATTCAGACACTCGCTCAAAAAGAATAAACCGAATGCGACCCAGAAAATCTTGCTAGTCAAAAACCCACCTTTCCGAAAGAAGAAAACACGGTTTTACCAATTATAGCAGTGAATGCAATGAAAGAGTTGAATGGATTTTGGAAAATACAGAGCCAAAAATAAACACAATAAAATTAAACAAGCAGCTCCATTTGTAAGTTCTAATGCAGAAATAAACACAATAATAATAACAAATCACAACATTCACATTTCTAGATCCATGAAAATAGACCAAAACCCAATTTTAAATTTTCTAGCTCTGAAACAATAAAGCACTGAAATTGAAGCAAAAAGTTGGAGCATTTCGATCTTTCTTGCTTCCAAAAACAACTTCTCCACGCCAAAATTCACCTTAATTCTTGTAATCCAAGTAGCCCGTAAAAACAGAGAAAACCAAAATTCTTTTCTTGTGATTCAAATTTGGAATATCAAATGGAGATTCAAAGCACCTCCGAAAATGAGAACAAACATCTATGTATTAAGTAGAAAATTATAAAATTTCGGAAAGCGAAAAGGTATAATCGGCCACTTTAATTTGGTATACCTTGAAGCTTGAAGTTAAGGTTTAATTTTTAGGGTTTCTCAAGAAAGTAACCCTGATTTTCATCTGTATTCAGTCAGAAAGGGGAAAAGAGATTGTTCCAACTTTACGGATAAGGGCTGTTATGTAGTGCAAGCGAGTTCATAAAATAAGGAAGGAGAAGCTTACACGTGTGCAAACGGGAGCATATACGTATGAAATTGAAAGAAATTCCAGATCAGATTTGTGATGATGGAAAATAAAAAACTTGCCTAGTTAGAAGCTGTTTCCAAGTTCTAACAATATTTAAAAAAATTCTAGACTCAGTTACTTTCTTTTTTGCTAAGCCAACTAATCGACCAAAAAAAAACATCTACTACAGGTTGCATGCAACCTTATGCTTATCTCTAACGTGCTAAGCCATGTGATAAGAGAAAGTAGATGTTCTATTAAGTGATGAGAGGGCAAAAGGTTTGTGGTTTGAGTGGTTAAGAACTGTATTTGAGGATTTGTATCAAATCCTCTCACCTTAATATAAACAAGTGATTTTCTCATGTGAATACCACATCAATAATGTTATATAATTATCTATTTAGATTTCCTCGTATTGTCAGAGTAGTTTTAACCAACTCTATTCAACGATCCAATGAGAGTGATGGTTGGTGCTGGTTAAAGTAACCAAGGGCGGCGATGCACGTGGCAGAAGATTGTGCATGAATTACACAAATGGCCCCCAAATGCATGTTCGATCTTGTGATGACCCTACCTAATGAGATGTTAGATGTCACAAAATACAATTAATAATATAATTTCTTTTTGAAGAAAATAAAAAAACAGGAGGGATGAAACTAAAATGGACAGAAATCTTTGATAGGACTCACAAAATATTTGCACGCAATAGTGACATGTGGATCTGTTTCCAGTTTGGATAGACAGTTGTAGTTGTAGACTTTGATTATTTTGATAAGCAATTATTCGTATACGTATATGGCTAAATGATTGAAATTCATCCGTTTGAAAACCTTCTTCTGAAGAACACGTCAACTATTTTCATATTAAACCTTGTTTTTTTAGAACTTTTCTTATTAAGAGGAAAAAATATATTAAATTCATACACATTTTACATATGCTAGGACTCGACCCAATACTTTCTTTGAGGGAGCAATTGCTTCAAACCACTATACTAATGAGTCAATTTCATACTTGACCTTAATGTATATAGTTATTATATATTTTTTTTTATACAAGCGATATTGAAAAATGAGGAAATCAAACTTAGGACATCAAAGGTAAATACTCTTAACTATTTGAACTACACACCCCTTAGAATGTATACACGAATATATTATAGTTAATAGGATCGTGCATGAGATATACAAATAAATATCATATATCTATATGACGCTATGTCTATATTGTATTTTTGCTTTTGACACCTTGTTTTATATAAATTATGGTGCAGGCCTGTGTGTGGTTTGACTTTAACTTTCTGTTGACTTGTTCTATTCCCACCATTGTCAAGATATTCATAACCTAGCATGGTCGTTTGAGAGTATTTGTTTTCACTGTAATTTTAAGAAGTTAATTTTGTAGCTGATGTTTTTACTTTTTCAGAGGCATGTCCAAATTATTCCTAAAATATAGATCCACCCCCTTGGGTGTGACCTATACTTTTAACTTTGACTGCTTAAGGTTAGGTTGTATTCAAGAATTCGTGTTGTGAAAAAAAAAAAAACCCCCTTTCTTTTGCGCATCACCCTAAACTAGGTAGCTAGTAATTTTTACCCTTGAGATTTCTGCCCCTAAACTGGGACACTTAGCAACAAAATCCATTATATTTGTGTTTGTGGAAAATCCAATTATAACGCTATCAAGAATTGATTGGGCTTTATGCACCTTAATTAACTACACTTAATTGTGTTACACACAGGTTTCGGCTTAAAATTATGTGTGAGTTTTCATTTTTTTCTATTCCAGCCAATGTTTGAGCCCAAGTTGAGTAGAACCTTAATCTTAGGAGTCAGGCCTACCTTCTCCTTTCTCATTCTCACCTGGCAATGCCGTCTTATGTCAAGTGATTTTCCCTCGAAAGGTAACCCACAACTTTTGAACCTCCCTTAAACCAAAGACTCCCGACTTAGAAGCTAACTAGGCAATTGCCAGTGGCCATGGACTGACAGACAAGCCATCAAAACCATTTTGGGCCGAGCCTTGGCCCAATATCAAATAGGCCTAATTTAGTCTTATTATTATTGGCCCAGGAAAACAAACAAAACAAGCTCTCTCTGCGTGTGTGTGAGTGAGTGAGCCGCCCTACTATGGAATCCTTAGCCGTCTTCAACTCCTCACACTCACTCAGCTCTCCCTCAGAAGACCACTTCATCCCAAAGCACCCTCGACCGCCCAATCTGCAGAGCCCAAGCCCAAGGAGGACAAGCTCTGGGGCGGCCGCTTCGAAGAGAGCATCACCGACGCCGTCGAGCGCTTCACCGAGTCCATCTCCTACGACAAATCTCTCTACAAGCAAGACATTTTGGGCAGCAAGGCCCACGCTTCCATGCTAGCCAAACAGGTAAACGATATATATATTTTTTTTTGTGGGTTTATTTTTCATGAATTGAGTTTTTACAAATTTATAAATAAACCCAATCCTAGACATGTATTTATAAAAAAACTCAAGCACTATTTAAACATAGAAACTCACCCAAAATCAACCCCAAAGTCAACTTTTTGGGTGTGTTTATAAATGAGTTTTGAGTGTGTGTAATGATGAGTTTTGGGTGTGTTTATAAAGTGTTTTGGGTGTTGGGTTTTTTTATAATTTCAACCTCCATTTTGGGTGTTTTAGTGAAACTCCCTTGAGTTTTTGGGGTGAAATATTTGCTCTTTGTTCTGTTTTAGGGATTTATTTTTCAATCATTTCGCCATACGAATACGAATAATTGAAGTCTACAACTACAACTGTCTATCCAAACTGGAAACAGATCCATACGTCACTATTGCGTGCAAATATTTTGTGAGTCCTACCAATGATTTCTGTCAATTTTAGTTTCATCCCTCTTTTTTATTTTCTTCTAAAAGAAATTATATTATTAATTGTATTTTGTGACATCTAGCATCTCATTAGGTAGGGTCATCACACGATGGAATTAAGATCGAACATGCATTTGGGGGGCATTTGTATAATTCATGCACAATCTTTTGCCATGTGCAGCGCTGCCGTTGGTTGCTTTAACCAGCACCAACCATCACTCTCATTGGATCGTTGAAAACCCGTCAAATCCTAAGCTTATTCGATCAATTTGTCTCCTCCTGTTTTGGTGACACCTATCCTATTACAGGCTTGTAGCTAACTACAAATTGTCCCTATCTTTGTTCTTTGGAAGTGGACGACGAAAGCAAACTTGGCCTCGATAATTTTAGTATGGCCATGAGATCTGGTTGGCCATAAGAGCTCGTCATGTTTTATAATATTATCGGGGATTTATAAATCATTGATTGCTTCTTCTTTTTTTCATTATCAAATCAAATAAATAAATAAATAGTCTGTCGTGGAGGAAACTATTATTTAAGAGAAAATTCATTGTCAATTCTTTTTGTAAAGTTTTAATTATGTCCTTGGACCTTTTTCATCGTCAATTTTTTATACATGAGGAGGCATCACAGCGAAAAAGTAAGTCAAACTCTTCTCCTCTCTTCCAAGTGCATTTGGATTCGATTTACTTAGGAGACAATCTTGAGACAACCCAGTTTAATACTTCCCCCTCCCCTCCCTAGCGAATGACAAATTATGTCCTTGTTTCTACTTGCATTAAATGAAGAAAAAAAAATCTAATATCTTAAGAGTACAACAATAATTAACAATGATTTTTAAATGACTAAACTAAAATAAAACATGTCCATGCATAGCATTTATAGGATTGCTAGTTTATATATAATGAAAGAAAGATAGCTAACTAAGTACATGCATTAGTTCGAAAAAAAATAATCTCATTCATAAGCCTCCCTTGTAAAAAAATTAATAATAATAAAAAATTATATCCAATAAGATAGTAGCAAAAGAGAATTTTACTTTGTGGTAGGAAGGAAATATTCACCTCCTATTTTTGTACAGAGATTTGTCCACCAACGAATTGCCAAATGTGATTTGGATTGTAAATAAAAAACGTTAAGAGCGATTGGGAATATTGCCAACAAGACGTGGGCCTCAAAAAAGGGATGGCAAAACTTCATGGAAAACGCAAAGACTAAAACAAGAAAGAGTATTGTCATACTCGTCAAATTTGTACACCACAGTTTGTTAGGGAATTCGAACAAAGAATTTCGAATGCATGAATAACTGTTTAGAATCATTTAAATTACAAGCGACAAAGATAGAAGAAGTTAGATGGTAAAAAACAAAAGTAAATTATTGAAAATGTTTGTACTTTGTTTGGCCTCAAGCCTAAAGTTACGAAGGGGAAGGATATCCACACAAGTGGATGTGGGTTACTTGAACCACATGTACACGCAAGTGGAAATGGCCATTCTAATTTAGGTCAAATCCCAAGTCTAAGCCCACCAAAATTTACCAGCCGTCTCTCTATCTAACCGCACCTTTTGCCTTTAGAATCCCATTCAAAACGTGAACAGGTAAATATCATATTCATTTCATTCCATATGGTTGGCCATATCTGAACTTGATGAGCTTTATTTGGATGAGTAATCTCTACTCATGTGACCAGGAACAACAAGTAAGGACTTTGGTTTGGGGCTGCTACTTGTTATTGATGTGATGTCGTTCTCAACTCTCCAAAATATTCAAACCAGTACGTTTTTCCTATTTCTTGCAGGAATTTTTAAATAAATCACTGTGCTCTAATTTATTGCAATGTGTCATGTTTTAACGTATTTGTGTTTGTGAGATTATGTTTAACTCAAATCCGTTTCGTTAATTTACCATGTCTAAATATATATAAACCGAAACTCACTAGCAAATTTTATATGTCGTGTCATATTTCATCTATTTACCCATTTCTCTCTTCTTCTTTTTTTGTTCAATTAAACACCAAAATCTAAAATATATATTATCAAATAATATCAAGTATACATAAAGAACCGACCTTATAATACACCGACCCCAAAACGTATGTATAGAACTCAAACTATTAGTGGGGATTCAAATAATTGTCATATAAATTGTCATTTTGTGTTATCAACCAACTCTACTAACATTTCGGTGACAACTGTTTTAATTTATTAAGGGGAGATCTATTGCTTACTACTCACGACGAAAACATCCGATCTATACTATAATCAAGTCGTTCGCGTATCTTTCCTTAGAAACTACTTAGACAATACGAGGAAATCAAAATAGATAATTATATAACAGTGGTATTCATGTGAGAAAGTCACTTGTTTATATTAAGGTGAGAGGATTCGAACACATATCCTCAAATACAATTCTTAACCACTCAAACCACAAATTTTTTGCCCTCTCATCACTTAATAGAACGTCTATTTTCTCTCATCACATGGCTTACCACGCTAGATATGAGCATAAGGTTGCATGCAACCTGTAGTAGATATTTTTTTACAAATTTATAAATAAACCCAATTCTAGACATGTATTTATAAAAAAATTCAAACACTATTTAAACATAGAAACACACCCAAAATCAACCCCAAAGTCAACAATTGTATATTTTTTGGGTGTGTTTATAAATGAGTTTTGAGTGTGTGTAATGATGGGTTTTGGGTGTGTTTATAAAGTGTTTTTAGTGTTGAATTTTTTTATAATTTTAGCTCCCATTTTGGGTGTTTTAATGAAACTCCCTCTTTTTTTGGTCGATTAGTTGGCTTAGCAAAAAAGAAAGTAACTGAATCTATAATTTTTTAAAATATTGTTGAAACTTGGAAACAGCTTCTAACTAGGCAAGTTTTTTATTTTCCATCATCACAAATGTGATCTGGAATTTCTTTCGTATGAAATATATGCTCCCGTTTGCACACGTGTAAGCTTATCCTTCCTTTATTTAATGAACTCGCTTGCACTACATAACAGCCCTTATCCGTAAAGTTGGAACAATCTCTTTTCCCCTTTCTGACTGAATATAGATGAAAATCAGGGTTACTTTCTTGAGAAACCCTAAAAATTAAACCTTAACTTCAAGCTTCAAGGTATACCAAATTAAAGTGGCCAATTATACCTTTTCGCTTTCCGAAATTTTATAATTTTCTATTTAATACATAGATTTTTGTTTTCATTTTCGGAGGTGCTTTGAATCTCCATTTGATATTCCAAATTTGAATCACAAGAAAAGAATTTTGGTTTTCTCTGTTTTTACGGGCTACTTGGATTACAAGAATTAAGGTGAATTTTGGCGTGGAGAAGTTGTTTTTGGAAGCAAGAAAGATCGAAATGCTCCAACTTTTTGCATCAATTTCAGTGCTTTATTGTTTCGGAGATAGAAAATTTAAAATTGGGTTTTGGTCTATTTTCATGGGTCTGGAAATGTGAATGTTGTGATTTGTTATTATTATTGTGTTTATTTCTGCATTAGAACTTACAAATGGAGCTGCTTGTTTAATTTTATTGTGTTTATTTTTGGCTCTGTATTTTCCAAAATCCATTCAACTCTTTCATTGCATTCACTGCTATAATTGGTAAAACCGTGTTTTCTTCTTTCGGAAAGGTGGGTTTTTGACTAGCAAGATTTTCTGGGTCGCATTCGGTTTATTCTTTTTGAGCGAGTGTCTGAATTCATTGAATGTTGCAGCTGTTAGACTTTAGACCTTGACCTGTGTTTGGTTGCCCAGAAAACTGAATAGTATAAAAGGGAAACATTGAATTTTTTGGTAATTTGTACGAGAAATGGGACAGTTTTATTGACTCAGCCAAAAGAAATGCGCTTTGCTGATGCCATTTCCTGTTTCAGTTTCCAAGCAAAAACTTATAGTCATAGCAATATTTTTCTCTTCTTTTCATCCCATTTCTCAATCAAACTTGCTTGATTTCCATAAAGCCAAAGCTTTTTCTGCATATGTGTTATGAAAATTTCCCTTTTCTGTAAGTGTCAACAGCATTTATTTGTTTCATTGAACTTGCATATGCTTTTTAATTGTATTATTAGGTTTGTACTATTTTCATCGGTTAATTCTCTTCTTATAAACTTCTCAGGAACAGGCAGAAATTACCCAACATATTGTCTGTTTCCACTTCCACTGGTTGGGCCCGAGACACTTGGTGCAACTGGCAAAAGATCTTTGAATGAGAAAATGGCTGTGGCTTTTACCCAGCTTTCATGGTGGTTGTGGAGTGGAAAACAGAAAGAGCCTAGAATCTCCAATTCATCTTCTTTAAGTTCTTCACCCGACCCCGGCATGTGGGAATCTGATGGTTTAAAGTTTCCTTCGGTTAAGGGGGCCAGTATGGCCTCATCATCATCAAGAAGGGTGAAACGCAAATGGCATAGTCGGGAAGAACGGAAAATTGATAGGGAATATGATCTTGTTCTAGTTCCATCTGAGGGAGGATGTTTTTCTGGTTCCGAGTCTGATGACTCGGATTGGTCAGTTGGATGGTTGGAGCCTCATGGACCTGGGTTTCGGAGTGATGATGATACAGACGATAGTTTTGCTGTGCTGGTTCCGTGCTATGGGCATGTTATTCATGATATGGTGAAGGATCCAAAGAGCAATATATTGAGCACTGTTGGGAACATCCCAGATGGTTATTCCGATGGTAAGAGCTTCTCTTATATGCCTATTTATATCTGTTTACAAGAAAAATTTCTGGCAATTCTTTTATATATCTTGCTTGATGAAATACCATAGTTGATATGAAATGTTCAAACCAAACCTTCGTTTTAAATTTTTAATACCTTTTGATTATTAGCCACCTTTAGAAAAGGGGCTTTTGCATCTGTTGTTTTGATTTCACAATCGCTCTGCAGCCAGTTCTGGCTACACTATGAGGGTCTCATACTCCACTCATTGAATGCGTTGCTAATGATTTGTTCTTAGGGAAAACATTGACTACAGTTGGTTCAATTATTACTGCCATTGCTTCTGGTATATTGTAATATAAGTGAGGATGACAAGTTATAGTCAATTATTCGGTTAAGGATGCAGAATTTTGATGGCTAGAAGTATTCTTTTCAATCTATTTAATGATCATCTAAAAATTGGGGACTTGCCTTTTCAAATACCGATTGAATATTCGAGTGGGAAAAGTTAAGATGCAACAGCCTCTTTCAAAGTGCTGATGTGCCAGCCATGTGTTTATTTAGTTAGAGCAGCATGAATTTTGGTTTAAGGACAGAGTTGGACTTGATAGGGCATTGACTGTTTTAAGATATTAAATTCTTAGGAGTGAAATGTGTTTTAATGTTGTTTTTGTGTTAAATACAAAATGAACTTTTTCTTCTCTCTCTCAATCTCCCTCTCTGTGGGTAGGAACATAAAAGAGCTCATCGAAGTTAGTTATTAAACAGTTCAAATTAACATGATTGTGAAGGAAGAACTGTCTAAATTTTTGAATATGGTATGTAATGGTAGAGTCCATCCTTAAGTGCTAGGCAATAGTTAGTTA